AATTTGAATCAAAATTTCATCTCTTGAAGATTCAAGAGATACTAAAGCAATGACATTGGCTGATTTGATGAGTACTCTTGTGACACAAGAGCAGAGAAGAAAAATGAGAGATGAGAAGGGTATTGAGATTCCTTCACAGGCCAAAGCTTTCATCAATCCAAATTATGCATACTCAGTTTGTCAATTTCCTTATCCTCATTGGCCTTTCTGCTTTTTAAAATGCAGTAGGTTTTCAATTTTCATTACTTGTTTGACGCGTGTTGTTGTAAAAACTTGCTTCAACTGCTTTTGGCAATGTTATAGATGGCGCTGTTACTTTTATGCTAAGAAATTTTAACGCCTTGCTTTAGTTGTCTTCTGATCAACTGATTTCATTAAGCAATTCCTTCACAAATTAATTGGATAGCTCCAGTTTAATAAAGTAAAGATTCTGAGTTGGGTTATTCGGGCCTAGTTAGTAAATTCGCATTTTATACGTGAATTTCCGTATTTTATAAACATAGCCGAATTATATGCCCCAATTATATAATTTCTTTATAATTCAGCCATATTTTTTAAAATAAAAGTTTGTTATTTAATGAGCCAAACTCCATGGTTTTAAAACTCAGCCTGACCCGACCGATTGAACCAGTTCGACCGGAACCGATGACTAGACTGAGTCGGTTCACATAAAAAATTGGAATCAATAATTGACCCTCTTCAGACCACGGTTGGACCGGTTCTTTGTGACGAACCACTGGTCCAACCGCTATAAACTGGGTCTGTTACAGTATAATATAAAAGAAATAATTAAAATAATAAAATTAAAACCCTTTTCCCCCTTCCCCAATTTCATTCGACAAAAACCAACACGAAAAGTAAAAATGAAAAAACCATTACCAAACAACGAAACCAGCTTCTTCGATCTTGGGTTCTTTGATTCCGATTTCAATTATCAAAATCTTCAACCAATCTTCAATCTTCGGGGCTTGGACGACTTCTGAATCTCTGATCTTCTAGCTTCGGCTTTGATAGCTTCTTCTTCTTTGATCTTCGATCTTTGGCAGCTCCCACAAGGTATGTGTACTTCATTGTTGTTAACTTGTTATTGTTATTGTTCTTTTTAACTTTTTTTTGTTGTGAGATTGTTTAAGATGGAGTCATAAAGATTGTTTGATATTAAAGAAATGAGTTTGAAACTTGATATTGGAGAGGTGATTGTTTGGTGTGAGATTGGTTGTGTTTGAGAATTGAAGGGTGCAAAAATGGACTGCAGTGTGCATTTTCACACTCTGTTTTTACTGACATTATTATCATTGTTTTTATTGGGTTGTTGGCTTGTTGCATGGGAGTAGATAGAGATGGAGGGTTGAACCGTTGATTTTGAAGAAGTTGGTTTTGGTCCTTTTGGGTTTGAAATTGTTCGCTGTGAGAATGGGGCCATGGGAGGGACTGGAGTAGATAGAGATGGAGGCTTGATATTGAAGAAGTGGGTTTAGGGTTTGAGATTGTTTGCTGCGAGAATGGGCTTGTTATTAAAGAAGTTGGTTAATGTATGTATGTGTGTGTGTGTTTGATTCGGATTTCATTGTTTTTATTGCACTGCAGTGGTTTAATGTTGTGATGTGTTTGATTTGAATTTGAATTTGAAGAAGTGGGCAAGCAGTGTGCAAAAAGGGACTGCATTTTTGCAGCTTGTGCAGATTTGGTCAGTCACGGGAAGCTGGAATTTTTTACTGTTTCCGAGAGCGCTTTTGCTGGTTGGGCAGATCTTTTGTTTTCTGGACAAGTTCTTGGGGTCTAGTGTATAGCAGTTTTTTTGTTTTTAATTTTTTATTGTATAAAGATGGTATATCCTTAGTTGCTCTTGATTCTTTTGTGTAGCGTTGTCTCTTGGGCTTGTACAAAGGCTCCTGGCTGTAAAGGAGAGTCCCATTTTAGGTGGAAATTCTTTGATTCTTTTCTATGATTACCAGGTTTATCCAAAAAAAAAAAAAAAAATTGTAAATAGTGTATACATGTCAATAGTTTTTGTGACAAGAGAAGTGAGCAAGGAAGTAGACTATGCTTATGAATGTAGTAAACAAAAATGCAGTTTTGTTCCAAATCTCAACAAATTAGAAGTAAAACATTTTCTTGTGCTCTATTTGAAATATGTTGAAAATAATTAAAAAAACAAAAATTATTTTGAAAGTTATTCTTTAAAGATGAATATAATTGAAATGCGTCATTGCCTCTAAATCTTTTTTTCCAGAAAGGGAATAAAACATTTGGGTATGTTTCTCAAATTTTGGCAAGAACATTCTCTAATTTTGGGCAAGTCACATGACCTCATGACAGTATGTCACTTGAAAATCAGTTCTGCAGTGTGGGATCTGGATATATTTGTTATTGGGAATTTTTTATTATCAATTATCACTGTTAAAAATTAAAATCTGTATTTAAAATTTTTTTTTTTTGCAGACGTCATGCTAACATCAGCAAGATGACATCACTATCTGACCCACTAGTCGGACCGACCCATCAAACCTGTGACCCGGTGGCTTGGCCAAGTTGCCCCCAGGTCGGGTTTTATCAAATGATAAAATTTTTTACATATTGAAATATTATAATTCAAAAAGATATAAATCATACACCTACGAGGAAAAACAAAGTAGGATTAATTCAATGATTATAAAAAGTGCTAAAATCATATTAATATTGCTGTATTTTTTAAAACATATTATTGACAATGTACCGTATTAAACTCGTATATATCCGTACCGTATTTTTTTCGTATCTGAATTTTATGGCCGAATTTTTACAAATTTATTTTTCTCTATTCGTCGTTTCATAATGTAAAATTTCCGTAGCTTTTTTTTGTCATACCCATATTTACTAACTAGGATTCAGGGGCGCTTCTAATTGAAATAACTTATTAATTTTCGGAGACTACTAGATCTCTTGCTACTGTGGAACTAATCAATTAATTATATTTTTTGTTTTTTAAAGTAGAAATGAATAAATTAAGAACTGCTATACTAAATTAATGTTAACACTACATAACAGGGCCAAAATAACTGAGGAAAAATATGTTTTGTATTATGTTAAAGATATTTTTAAGAGCAAGTAGATAAATAGATAACATTGTTCCAAAATTATTGAAGGAAGCTCTCCTATCAATTCATCATTAACTTCACTGTCACATTGTTGGTAGTTGGTACCCATTTCCCCTGTTCATACTGTTTTTAAAAATGTGATGAGGCAGTGTCGGCTTTAGGCTATGGCACTGAATCATTTGTTTAATTAGGTTTTTCAATTAATATATTATTTGTTAACCGTCAATTGTGGGGTTCGGAGTAGGGGTGTAAACGAGCCGAGTCGAGTCGAGCTTTTGGCTTATCAAGCTCGGCTCGTTTACAACAGTGTCGAGCTTGAGCCTGGCCAGCCTCAAAATTGAGACTCGAGCTCGAGCTCGAGATCAGGCTCGCGAGCCCTTATCGAGCTTGAGCTCGATAAGGCTCGATCAAACCACCATTTATCCGGGTTTGATCGAGCCAAGTTCCCCTTTTTTACAGCAATCTGCCTACGTACAACATTTCATATTTACATCCAATGTTGAATTAACCATGACAGTTTCGAACATTACAAAATGTCTATTACCTTACAAATCAAAAAACAGTTCTGAATATATAAAAATAACATTCCTAGGAGATTACTGATTTCAGAATGTTTGGTTCGCGATTTGGGATTTGGGGGTCTTTGATTGCGATTTGGGATTTAGGGCAACTGGGATGGGAAACTGAAATTGACGCTCTGTTTTGGTGTTTCGTGTTATTTCAAATCTGCAATTTGGGGGGGGGGGAACTGTCATTTTTTTAAACTTTTTCACTGGAAAATATCAGTTTAATACCTAATAGTTTAAAAAATCATCAAAACACCCTGTAAAGTGTACAGTGCTTAATCGAGCCAGACCAGGCTCGCGAGCCCACAAGCCGAGCTTCACTGTGTTCGAACTCGACTCGGTAAATGAACCGAGTTTGAGTCGAGTTGAACCGAGCCGCGCGAGCCGGCTCGGCTCGTTTACAGTCCTAGTTCGGAGACAAAAGTTTCATTTGGATAAGGTTTATCGGAACACATACTGAACTTTCTAAAACTTAGTCTACTGAATATGATGTTGACTTCACCGGTTGCATTCATTTTTATATTTAATTTTTGTCCTCTTTAACTGTCACCAACCCAATGTAATTTACTCTCTAAAATCTGGACCCTCTACAAATTAAAATTTTAAACCAAAATCAACTGTTAAAAAGGCACATAACATAGAAACAGGAACATTTTCTGGGTTTTTTTTTTATGAACAGAGCCACTAGAAGTTGAATCTTCCTCCCTTGATCAGACAGACAGCTAAATCAAAGGACGATTCTGATCTGATGGTCAAGTATTGAAGCTATTATTGCTCAAAAATTTAGACAACTATTCTATAAATACAAAATAAGAAGGCCAAGCCCCCACAACAAGGCAGTTGTTTTATGTAACCATTCCCTTAACCACATTTCTTGGCCTCTTCTTTCTTCTAAATTAGGTCCCCTCAAGGAAAAAGAAGAATTGGCAGAGCTATCCTTGCCTGGCTTGCAATATTGTATAATAATATCCTTTCTAATGCCCTAAAAGATAGTAATAAAAGTTTCTCAAACAACCCACTTTGTTTTGACAAAGCCAGTTAAAATCCAAAAAGCTACAGATTCCTCTATGTAGTGTATATTAATTTAGTGCCTTAGTGTGCCTAAAATCCCGCAATATGTTAGTAAAATTCATAATAATATTCAGGACCAAGAAACAGAATCTTAATATCAAGTAAGTAAACCTACGTGCATGAGACATTGAACTCATCTCTTTTTAACTCAACTCAACTCAACATAACAGGCAGTCTACCAAACAAATATCAATTAATGAAATCAAAATATGCACAAAAATTAACCAAGAAAAAAAGGATAGATTTTTTAATTCATTCGCAACCGGGAATTATATCACTGTATTTTTTAATTTCTTTCTAGCATAAGACCAAGAGTGTTCTCTCGAATTAAAGTTTTCTTCTTGGAAGCAATAAAAGTTTCTATTGCCAGCCTAAACTCTTCGCTGCTCAAATCATCCATAGCACTCGACCGCCTTGGCGGTTCACTTTTTTCTGCTACCATTTCCCGCTTCACCACCGCCTTTGATCTCCGCAGCTCCCTCTGCTTCTCTTGTTCCAAACGCTCCGACCGACTCCTTCTGTGCCTCTTCGACTCACTCACCGCATCAACCGTACTACACCGAACTGGAGAAATCACATGCTTTTCCTTCGGTCCAGAGTCCGTCACGCTAACAGAAAATTTAGGAACAACATTTTTATTGACTTGAGAATTCACCGCATTATCCACACAAACGATTTCTTTGTCAGATACAGTTGTTTCTTTCAGCTCTGTAGATTGTTCGGCCGCGGGAACGCTCCAGCGAGAGACGTTGGTGGTGAAGTTGACGTACTCGTCGAAAAAATCTGATTTTTCCGGCGTTTGGGAAGAGGAAACAAAGATAAGTAGCATGAGCACGTTGATTATCATTAAAACGAACAAAGACCGATCAAAAACAGCGAGGGGTTGGCTGAGAAAACCTTTGGCCATCTCAGTGGCGACGGGGATGTAAGTATAAGAGGACCATGAGAGCAAAGCCAAAGCCGCGACAACTTCTAGAAGGAAACGAAAACTTATCAACTTTTTCTGGCGATTGTGCCAACTCATAGCTTCGGCTTTCTCAGCTTTCACGTTGTTAAAATGAAAAGAAGCCATCTGATTTACAGAGGGAAGTAAGGTCACGGAGGCAGATTTTTAGTGAAAATAATGAGAAGAAAGGGAAGGTAAGTGAGGGAAAATAATGAATTGATAGGCAGCTAGGTGAAGGTAACGGCAAGGTTTCAGTTGTCATTGTTTCTAGAAGGGGAGTTGTAATGTGAACTGAAGACTGAAGACTGAAGACGAAGACTGAAGATTGACAAGGTCACAAGGGTTTTATAGAGTAGAAAAAGTTATTATTATTATTTGAAATTAAAAAAATGAAAAAAAATAAATATATATATATATATAATATATATATAATATATATATATTATATAAAGCTGAATACCCATATGAGTTGATCGACACGTGGTGTCACGCCCCTCCTGGTAGTCCCTACCCATCGGACTGGGCGCTCCGAGGACCGAGAACCCGAGAGGAAGGTGAATAAATCACAAAATCATTCATAAAATCCGTTTATATGACATAAGTTAAGTAAACAGTTATCCATGCACGTACAAAGAGTTCTGAAAATGTAAATGTAGAAAGTCAGTTACAAAACATAGTATCACAGTACACTAAATGAACACATCATGAGGTAGAACATGCATCCGTAGACCAACTTAGAGCATACAATTAGCTCCGCACGAACCGTGTGGTAAACCCTAGGGGGAGAAAACATAAAATAGTGAGTGGGAAGCCTAGTGGTGGATAATATATTTATAAGGAAAATACTGGTAAGGGAAAATATATTTCATGTAAAGCTTGATGAATGCCACACAACCACCATACCATATATATACTCATACTCACCACTACCATACTAGTACTAGGGGACATGGACTACAACTCTAACGTATAGGTCCCTAATAAAGACAATCCACTAGGCACCCAATCTATCCTCGGGGTGGCACCAGCCACGGTCTATCCTCGGGATGGTTCAAATCATTTGGAATAGCCATACTTGACCCACAGTCTATCCTCGGGGTGTTATGATATGGCATCCCATCGCGAAATCTCATCTACAGTCTATCCTTGAGGCGTCAATATCAAAGTCGCCCACGGTCTATCCTCGGGGTGTCAAACTGCCTAGAGTCGTCAGACACGTCGTCCTGATGATGGTCTAAGCTCGTCATCGTTTGGTAGTACAAGCCATCTTATGCACACATGAGGTCAAATAATATTGTAGCTGAAGTTTGGAGGGGATGGTACTGCCGAAAGGTGGTCTCCGACCAATTCATCCAACGCAATACACACCAACACACACACACACACACACCAAACACACACACATTTTGGTTTTCTCATTTTCCACTAAACAATCAATAGTAAATTAGTCATAACTTACTCAATAAAAATTCAATTGATGACGGTTTGAATCTTTCGAAATTAGAAGATAGAGTTTTAATTTTACATATCACACGATGAATTTGGATAACTATAGACCTATAGCCAAACCATTCATTTTATCATCACACACATAAAACCATTCAATTTTAATGATGACAAAAGAAAACAAATATGATATGTAGTTTTAATATATTGTTTTATATCTATTTGTTGATATTCTTTATGTACATACATATATTGAAAACAAGTTGTTGTTGGATATAGCAATTTTATTGTATCACAAATATCATCTGATGTTTGTTTGCCGAACCATGTAGCTTTAGTAAACATTTATAAATATCCTGAACCATTATTATCACTAAAGGAAAACAAATATTGATATGTAGTTTTAATTGTAATTGTTCTATCTCTTTTTGTTAATATCTTTTTATGTACATACATATATCATGAAAAGAGGTTGTTGCTGAATATAACTAATTTCATTATTTAACACACGCATTTCGGTTTCTATTGAACAATCAGTAGTATAAATGACCATAACTTGCTTAATAAAATCCAATTGGAGAGGATTGAATTTGTAGAAACTAGACAGACAGTGCTTTAATTTGTATATTATATACTTAATGGATAACTAAACCCACTGTCGAACCATTCCTTTCATCATCACATACATTTCGACTTCCATGAACAATTAATAGTAAATGACATAACTTGCTTAATAAAAACCAATTGATGAGAAGTTTGCATTTAGAAACTAGTCAAACAAAGATTTAAATTGATATATTATATGCTAATTTGGATAACTGTAGCCCTACTGTGGAATCATTCCTTTTATCATCACACACATTTTGGTTTCCCTGTTTCTCGTTTTATTGAACAGCAATAGTAATAGCCATAACTTGCTCAATAAAAATCAAATTGATGATCGATTTGAATCTTTGAATAGACAAATAGGGATTTAATTTGATATTATACGCTTAATTTGGATAACTGTAACCCCACTGCCAAACATCCTTTTATCATACCACAATTTCGGTTTCTACTAACAGTCGTTAGTAAATTGCCATAATTTGCTCAATAAAACTCCATTGATAAGAGGTTTGAATCTTTAGAAACTAGACATACGGGATTTAATTTAGTATATTATACGCTTAATTTGGATAACTGTAACCCTAATGCCAAACCATTCCTTTTATCATCACATTTCGATTTTCACTAAACAGTGAGTAGTAAATTGAACATAACTTACCCAATAAAACTCCAATTGATGAGAGGTTAAATATTTAGAAACTAGACACGATAGGTATTTAATTTGATATATATACGCTCAATTTGGATAAATGTAGCCCACTTCCAAACCATTCTTTTATCATCACACACATTTTGGTTTTCATTGTTTCTCGATTTTCACTGAACAATTAGTAGTAAATGACCATACTTGCTCAATAAAACTTCAATTGATAAGAGGTTTAAATATTAGAAACTAGATAGACAGGAATTTAATTTGATATATTTACACTTAATTGGGTAACTGTAGCCCCACTGTCGACAAATTCTTTTATTATTACACATATTCGATTTTCACTGAACAGTTAGTAGTAAATTGACCATAACTTTCTCAATAAAAATCCATTAATGAGAAGTTTAAATATTTAGAAATTAGACAGATATAAATTTAATTTGATATATTATAAGCTTAATTTTGAAACTGAGCCCAACTGACAAGCCATTCATTTTATCATCACACACATTTCAGTTTCCACTGAACAGTAGTAGTAAATTGATTATAACTGCTCAATAAAAATCCAATTGATGAGAGGTTTGAATCTTAGAATCTAAACAAATGGGGTTTAATTTGATATATTATATGCTTAATTGTGGATAACTGTAGCCCTACTATCGAATCATTTCTTTTATCATTACACACATTTTGGTTTCCCCTATTTATCGATTTCTACTAACAGTCCGTAGTAAATTAATCATAACTGCTAATAAAAAATCCAATGTGAACGGTTTGAATCTTTGGAAACTAGAAAGATAGAGATTTAATTGATATTATAAGATGAATTAGGATAACTATAGATTTGCTACCGAACCATTTATTTTTCATCACACACATAAAACAAATTCAATTTAATGATGACAAAGGAAAACAATATTCATATGTAGTTTAATTGTATTTGTTCTACCTCTTTTGTTGATTTTTGATTGATTTGTTGTTTTGATTTGTGGATTCTGTGGGTTTTAATTATCGTCTTTCTTGGATGCTATCATAAAGTTTTTTTGGCTATAGGTGGTGGTTAATTCTAATTGCAGCAAATAAAATTATATCATAGGACTTATCTTTATGACTTCTTCAATTCTTCAATTAAGTTGCTTTAGATATACTATGCAGTTGTTGTTGCTTTCTATGTGATTTCTCTTCTAACATCCTTAATTTTTTTAATTTCTAAAAAATAATAATAAAAATAATTCTATTTTTCTTCTCAACAATCAAAATCAGTTTTTTTTTCTTGGCTCTACAAGTCTCTTGCTAAAAGTTCACATTTTTTAACAAGGGTTCTCTTTCTCTGATTGATTTATAGACTTATCAATAGTGTCCAGTGAGTTATCCTACAAATTTTTTGCTTTTCTTGACAAAGTTTTAAACTTTGGTTGCATTTCAAATGGTGACATATTTGAGAAGAATATGTGATATAGACTTTGAGTTCAATTGTGGATATTTATTTACTGATTTTTTAATTATCAATTCAATATAAATGAACTTCATATAGAAAATATATTTAAAACAACAAAAACCGATAAATGTAAAAAAAATATATATATAATAAACATACCTGAGCAATGCAACTTGAAAATGAATATAAATTGCAGAAGGTCAATATAATTTTAAGTTTAAATGTGTAATCTTAAAATATTCAGGTGATCTTAATATCATACACGATTCACTACAAAATATTGATATTGAATATCAAAGACATGTCTGCAAAAATAATACAATGTACTAGATGATGACCTGAAAATATAATTAAATCATATAATATTCAGGTGATCTTCTCAAGTTAGATGAATGATTTAAGACATCTACTTATAATTGATATTAATAATTATACAAGTACAATTATTAATTTTATCTAACATAACTTTGCATATATAAAAAATTATATTTACTTTAAAATTGTATAATTGAATTATTATTATATCTTAATCAATTAGTCTATTTTATTAGAATAAATTGTTTACCATCTATATCATAAACATTAAATGAAAACCCGATACCCATGACTAGGGAATTACATGAGCAAGTAAAAGATGAACATACATCATGCCCCATGACTAGTAAAACATTGAATGAACATACATCGGGCCCATAACTAGTAAAACATTGAATGAACATCATTGGCCCCATGACTAGGAATAGTAAGTGAACATACATCATGCCCATGACTAGTAAAACATTGATGAAATATATCGGGCCCCATGACTAGTGGAATAGTAAAAGATGAAAAAACATCATGCCACATGACTAGTAAAACGTAGTGGAATTACAGGAGCAAGTAAAGATAACATACATAGACTAGTGAATTATAGGAGCAAGTAAAAGGACAAGGGGGAGGAGAAGCGCACGTGTTTGAATTCACCGACTAACCAAAGGAAGAAGTTCC